TAGTTCTTATTCTCAGGTACGAGTATGAGTATGGTCACAGTTCTGTAGTTAGTTTAAAAAAAACATCGGAAAGATCAGAGCTCATCCTATCATAAGTAAACACTGCAGTAATTCTGCGAGTCCTATGAAGAATGCGATAAACCCATATTTGCAGAAGATTAATTAGACAGGAAATGCAACGGGGTTGAAGGGCATAGCGATGACAGCTCTGATCTCTCCGCCTGTGGCGGACATATTTAGACCTAAGAAAGTTTGAGATAAGAGGAGAAAATGGATATGAGCATTTCTAGAATATTTTGCAAAACAAATAAAACTTCATATCGAGGGCTATAGTATCTCTTCAATGCACTAAAGGCTGAAATTAAAGTATACTGTAATAAAACAAATTACAAAAAGTTATGTGGAGGTATGTTATGTTAAAAAGTTATGATCGAGGAACGGCACAATTACCTGGTACAATTTAATGGGCTGCTGTCAATGCTTAATATATAAAGAGAAAGTTTATTCATAACTGAAATGTCAAGAAATGAATTGCTGTTATTCTGCATCAGGACTTAATGGCATAAAAACAGGAATAAAATTATGCTTACAGGGTGTAAGTATGACTGTGTAATATTAAAAGCATTTATACATAAAAAAGGTATCATTCTTTGATAAATTTTCTATGTAGTTACACAAAAAATGCGAATGTTTCTTTGATACCATAAATCAAGACTTTAAGGTGACAAGCCGAACGGCCACGCATAATAAATGCATTAATACAGTGATTCCTCATTAAAACTCTTAAAACGTTCGTCATAAGACCATCTGATCGTCAGTCTGCCACAAAAGTCCGTCGGTGTCACGAGAGCTCTCGTTACGAACCTCTCTTCAGCATCCTGATGACATCCATACAGTAGCAAATGCCCAGATTGCCGAGGTCTGGATTTTGCTGAGACTCAGCAGTAGGCCTTCGACGGAAACTTATTTCTGGTGCTTGCTTGTATTAAAGATCAAATCCAAGTTATATTAAAGGCCTAGAATTAATTTAATTCGGGATCCAGCCCAGAGCGATTATCAATTGGCACAAAACCGGGATACTTAGAAACAACTTATAAAGTAACCTTCCCAGGCCCTGAAAAGAAAACAGAGCCTCGAAACGAAGTTGAAAGTTGAAAGTTCGTCTTTAACCGAACCTATTGATTCGAAATTTTGGACACAATTACTCAAGCCATAGTACACCAACTAACAGTACCGCATCAAAATCTGAACACCTGCCTTCGAAGACAGATCAGAAGTTTAGTAAAACGAAACTCACTGTTTCCATGGAGAATAAATATATAAGATTGTGCCCTTTCAAACCCTTATCGTCGATCTTTCAACGACTGCACTAGACAAAACGGCACTGATTTGGTGAAATCTTAATCCGGACATTCTGTTGTCGTCTACGAAGCGATTCTTCATGCAGCTCTTGAAGCATTCAAAATGAGAGCAACTGTGTTCATAGATTTTGTAAATATTCGACAGTGCCATTACATGGAAAATGGTGCCCCATACAACGGATCAGACCATATCGTTTGTCAAATAAGTAGATGGCACGTGGTTGCCTAAGAAGTCATTTATGTGGGTGACGACTCAACGGTTATTTGATCATCTGTAGTACCAGATGCATCTGGCATCATTTTGCCTGCTAGAATTATCTGACGTCCATCACGAACGATATTTCAGGAGATAATTCTTGGCGTGTGCCACAGCATAAACAAATACCATAGAGCCGCGGACTGCTTAAATGCACCCCACGGGTAACAATGAGCAAGTAGGTGCTGCAATGTGCTATGAAACCTGCTCTTGTAGGCGCAATGCGTTATCCCTCCGCTGTAGCAAATCACTTTTCAGTGAGAACATAATAATACGCTTACGTATAGTTTAATTTTTCTAGGAGCATAAACCGGCTTGACACTTGACAATGCAGCAAGATGACATCCGACAGCAAAACAACTGCATATCATAACGGTAGAGCAGTGCATATGGCGCTTACCTTTGAATACAGGATGAGGATCATACCTTATTGACCGCTTGAATGAATTGGTTGACAGACACAGCTACAAACACAATCGTTTATGCGCTGATCCCCCTTTTTTCAGTGGCAATCTTTATATCATGAACTTAATTCAGTTGTTTTGAGGTACGAATAATCGCTCAGCACTGTCGTTCGCCTACGTCTTCTTCTGGATCTCGAGTCGCATATGCGTTTGGAAAAATTTAAGTAACTCTAAGCACATTACTACTACATATTTTATTTGAGAAGTAATATGCAACAAAATAAACCTCATAAGTTGGTCGTACGTTGGAGTATGTCACATAACGCATGACTTCTCCAAGACCAGATTTCATGGCGTACTGCAACGCCGCTGTGCTTCTAGTCATCTCAGGAAGGGGTGAATTTAAGCAGGCCACCGCTTCATGTAATTTGAATATACTACTTCATGGAAAACGCATGTCCATATTTCTAATCACATTGTAGTCTTCCAACGAGAAACATACACATGGAAAAAATGCGTAGCTATGATTATTCATGAGAAATTACTATACTAATAAAGTAGGTGATGAATCACCAGTTAGTAATATATTACGAGATTCTTTAATTAACACTGTAATTCCTTGGTTTAGATCATTTAGTCCATTCGTAGTCTGCAGTATACTACCAGTAAGAAAATCCTTGTGATTCATCGGAATGAGCCATTAAAATCAACAAAAAGTTATTAGTTGAAAATTGCCGCTTCAAACAGGACTGACAGTGGCCATCGTTAGAACCATGTTTGGCTGATGACGTAAGTGATTTTGAAGTTCATGGTGATTAAGAACTTGAACAATTATACTACTAAAACAACTATTAAAACAGGGCAACAAACATTTAAAAACACTTCAACGAACATAAAAACATCAATTTGTAAACAATAACGTCTGCAATGATTTAGACACGTTTTGTGACTGCTTCCAAGAAGGAGAGCGAAAAAGTTTTAATTTCTGAACCAAATGGCGGAAGATCAATGTGGAAGAATGACCTTGGGCAAGTGTCTGGACAGACGTGTTCCGGACTCAGGTTAACTTCAGCCAAAGATCACACACTGACACAGGATCGGGTACGTTCGAAACACTGCCTAATTCTACTGTTTCTGCAATCCGAAAGAATAAGCAATCAACTGAATGGCTAATGTCTAGAACATTCAAATGCTTAACATTTGAACTCAATGCCGACGATCAGAGACACAATGAACGGCATGCATACCATCATCTGCTCAACATCACTAACACACTAAACACTTCACTACATTCACTTTTGAAAAACATAAAAAAAAAATCTTCTTCCTAATAGCCAAGGAGACAACATCCCGTCACAATGTCGACATATAATCTGAACTACGTGACCATCTGTGAAACAACTTTGACTGGAGCTACATTAAATGATTTTGTGTTCTCTTTGAATGTACTGCAGCATTGGTAGGGAAATGTTACAGAAAGTCGTCTAGGTGTGTGGATTTAATTGTTATTAAGTTAAACCAGGGTATATCTGTTGGAAATGCGTCAGACTCAAGTTCGAAAGGTCTCAGATTCGAGCTCTGGTCAGGATTAATCGCATTTCTTTCTTTTGACGTTGATCAATGAGCACCTCTCTGTGAGAAGCAAATAGGAGAATACACATAATACCTGCCTCCTTTAAAACACAACACTGCCAGCGGGTGGCATAAAAGCGGTGATCAGCATCGTACCATCAGCCTCACAAAAAGAAGAGCATCGAAAATTGTCCCATCAATAAAAGTATAAGGAAAAACGACACTCAAAAGTATGCAAACGTTCTTTCTGCTTTAATTTATTTAATTACCTGTGGCGGGTTCGCTGGCTGTGAATAAAACCCTCGATTCTACGAACGACTCCAGCGTGTACTGAAAGCAGACAGAGACCAGCATCAAATGATGAGTACAAATAATCCATGCAGTACTCCTACCCTGAGCGCGACGGTACTCTCGATTTCGATGATCTTCATGTTGTTAACGGCGGATGAACGCCAGTACTTGTGCTTTTTGACCTCGAGTTCCAACGAGTTTCGAATCTCCTCGTCGCTGAACGTCGGGAAACTGAAACAAAGATTGGCTAGGAACAAACAACGACCAAAACAGCTGCAACAGCTCTAGCCCATTGGCACTGGCCGAGCAACGATCTTAACCACGTATATGAGCTCGTCGAAACTAGCAACCGGTCACACAAGGGGATCAAAGTCGACCGGTGCTGGTCATAAGGTCAGTCGTAAACTTTTTTTCATACATGATATCGTAGGCCGTGTCACCACGATAATTATCATCAGTGTTTTTTCGATCAACTCTTGGGCAAAGGCTTGTT